ACATAAAAAAATAAAAAAGTCGCTAATCCAATTTAGCTAGAAAGTTCGCGAAATTTGAAAATTTATATGATTTTTTTTTAAATAGTTCTCTTATACTCAGACATTCATTCATGCATATACATGTTTTCATATATTGAAGAAAGTTTCGGAAATTTTACTTTACCACAATTCAAAATTTTATTGATATTTATTCGAAATTGATGGATGCTTATTTGAAAATAAAATAAAATAGATTTGTTAATGAAGGACCATTTGTGTAAATTTCGTGAGAAATATGATATGAATACAAAAGTTTTATGAAATTTTTACAAACCATCAACGAATCCAAAATAGTAAGACACAAATCTATATTTCTACAATTGTTGTTTTAATTTTTATCGTTCTTTCAATAAAGAATACATTTAATTTCTACAATATTAGGAACGAATTTTGGAAATTTCACTATATAATGTTAATAATAATGTTTATTCACTTTATTGGTCACGTGTATATAACAGAGATTGGGTAAACAAACGTAGGCATCGCTGAAGCAACATTTTCGAAAAAATGATATTACCAAATTCCAAACTATAACTAAACTAACAAAATATATGTAAGAGTATTCTATACAATGAATAGACATGAACTGTTAACTATAAATTAGCATAATGGATTGAATTCGATACAATGAATAGATANATTGAAATGAAGAAGCCCCTGTCATGGTGGAGATACGTTGTCGTCTTCATATTATGGAACCATGGAGACACGAAACTATTTTTGTACTGTTTTTGTTCTGGTGAGGAAAATATGTTTTCAATAGATTCATTAGACGATCAGAGGTTTCAAATCACGTTTTTTTATATTATTCAAATACTTCTGTTCAAGTATTTTTAGTGCTCTAGATATTCATTTTTTTTCATTATTAGACACTTTATTATCCAACACTTTTTTAGACAATGCAATTCCGAACCTAANACTATCAACCCACTTTCAATAAAAAATTTCTACTTATGAGAAACAAATATTTTAATGAATCTTCTGATGAGAACATCCATCCAGTCGCCAAACCTTGAATTTCTCATTATGTCACATTATACTTTTTCCAAGTCTAGAGGGTGAAGAACAGCTCATCAAACTTATAATATTCGATGAAAACCATTGATTCCAGTGAATTACGAAATATTGGACGTACTTACCCTAGGAACAGTGTAATTCCGTGCTTGTTGAACAAGATAGTTAGTAGAGTACTTGAAAGCAGATACTTACATATGAGGTATAAATTCCAGAATCCCAACTATTTTTCGAAAATGTCTGAATTATGAAAAATGACGAAGCAAAGAGGGTTGAATGATTGATAACAATTTGTGTTGCATGCTACTTTTTAATTGGTGCATAGAATTTATATGTCGCTCAAGGAAACTTATTTGCACTCATGTATACCCATTAAGTGAAAATTGAATTACTTTACTTTAATAAGTTGAAAATTTCAGCAACTGCTTTAGAAAACCTCACATAAATGTAAAATTTTCTCATTGGTGGACTTAATTTCGAAAGCCTACACTTCACGTACCTCGAAAACTTTCCGACACTATATTCAAACCGTACTTGTTTAATAAAATTTTATGTACGTAGATTTCGCAAGCGGCAAAAGATAAATAGTTGTATAAATTGGACGAAAGTTTGGTTATCATCGAAATATCGAAATGTACTGCCGTGTGTCTTTAATAATTCTAATGATTGAATGATAATCTATGTTTTTCGTAGTGTTCCATAAATGAAATGTAATGTTAGATAAATATTTTGTGATTGAGAATATTGAATTTATCGTCATCAGTCATCTAACTGATCACTTAAAATTTTATGAACTTGCAATCTCTATTACTTCTTTTGAAATCTTTAAAAAAAGTAATTATTGAGTCATTCGGCTCGTGAAAATATTTTTAAACATCAAGTTAGAGAATTATCTGTGATTTGAAGTAATATAAAGTCTAATGAGGCATAATTTCAAATAAGGAATTACATATAATTACAATAAATTAGAACATTTATATGAAATATCGATGGTTTATGTTCCAAAACTTGGCCTTAAATCAATATTACATAATAATTTGGAGTGAAAGAATAAAATGTCGATCAAAATCGCCGGGTGTCCACATAACGAAAATTTACCGAAACTCTTTATATTTTTCCCAAAATTCACTTATTAGCAAATGTCGTTTGTTTTACAGTTTAAAGCTTATCGCCACTTGCCCGGAACAGCACAGCATGGCCCGTTTCGTCAAAATACGGATAGGATTGGAACAATGAAAATAAATGGACAACCGCCCACTAGCCCGGCACGGCACAGCCAAGAGCGTCCGCTGCCGGATAGGATTCCAGCTCTCCGATCCTGACCTTCGCCGGCCAGCGCTTGCCAGCATTAACTTGTCCAAAAGTTTCTGGGAAGTTTCTGCTTTTCTGTTTTGCTATGTTAAGGCAGGCTCTAGAATGTCCAGAACTTCTGAAAATTTGCCTGGAGTCGTTCAGAAATACTGGAAAAATTTCTCCTCATCTTCTTTCAGATCGTTGAAAAGATGATGAAACTCTCCCAGATTTGCTGTCTTTTGATGAATGGAATGGACCAACAACATTCTTTTTTGTGACTATTTTCTACTACATTCAATAATGCGGCCACTATAATGACGACTTCTTCGTCAGAACTGCTAGTGATAGACATGTTTCTGTCACCGCTCGATGCCAAGTGTCATCGCCAACTTGTTCAACTACAACCAGCATACTGAAGGTGCTGTTTGTTCGATTTCAAGAGCAATAGTCACAAAAAGGAATGTTGTCGGTCCATCTCATTTATCAAAAGAGGGCAAACCTGGGAGAGTTTCATCTTTCCAACGATCTGAAAGAAGACGAGGGGAAATTTTTCCACTATTTCCGATCGGAGAGCTGGAATCCTTTTCGGCGGTCTTGACTGTGTCGTGCCGGGCTAGTGGGTGCTGGTCCATTCATTTTCATTGTTCCAATCCTACCCGTATTTTGACGGGATGCGCTGTGCTGTGCCGAACAAGTGGGCGATAAGCTTTATACCACCATGGTTTTGTCACCACGAGCTCTGTAGTTCCAAGTATTCCAATTTGTTTTATGCAAAGCAAATTTGGAATCCACAAAATATAATTTGAAAATAAGAAATACCGGGTAGCAGGCTGGTAGTCGAAAAAAAACTACATTCAATAATGCGGCCACTATAATGACGACTTCTTCGTCAGAACTGCTAGTGATAGACATGTTTCTGTCACCGCTCGATGCCAAGTGTCATCGCCAACTTGTTCAACTACAACCAGCATACTGAAGGTGCTGTTTGTTCGATTTCAAGAGCAATAGTCACAAAAAGGAATGTTGTCGGTCCATCTCATTTATCAAAAGAGGGCAAACCTGGGAGAGTTTCATCTTTCCAACGATCTGAAAGAAGACGAGGGGAAATTTTTCCAGTATTTCCGATCGGAGAGCTGAAATTCTTTTCGGCGGTCTTGACTGTGCCGTGCCGAACAAGTGGGCGATAAGCTTTATACCACCATGGTTTTGTCACCACGAGCTCTGTAGTTCCAAATATTCCAATTTGTCTTATGCAAAGCAAAAATGTTATCAAATTTGGAATCCACAAAATATAATTCGAAAATAAGAAATACCGGGTAGTAGACTGGTAGTCGAAAAAAATTCTGAAGAACAAAACATTTCGTTCCATTAGTGCCGCGAAAAATTTTTATGGTGTAGGCATTGACCACGACAGTTTTTGCTGAAGTACAATTGACCGTTTGAACCGTCGCGTCGATTCGAACCGTCGATTATCTATAATCGACGTATCGAACTGTCGAATATATATAATCGAAAGATCAAACTGTGGATAATCTATAATCGACAGGTTGAACTGTCAGTTATCTATAATCGATAGTTGAATATGTCGATTATCTATAATCGATTACTTATAATCGACAGTTAGAACCGGTGATTGTCTGTAATCGACAGTTCAATTAACTATAATCGACGGATCGAACTGTCTATTATCTATAACCGAAATATCAAACGTTGGGTAATCTATAATCGACAGATTGAACCGTCGATTAACTATAATCGACGGATCAAACTGTTGATTTATTATCTATGACCGAAAAATCAAATGGTGGATACTTTATAACCGACAGATTGAACTGTTAATTATCTATAATTGACAGTTGGAACTATCGATTGTATTTCATCGAGAGTATGAACTGTCGATTACTATTGATAATCGGTAGTTTAAAGTTTCGATTGAACTAAAATCTGAATTTCTCTGTTGCTATGGCAAAAATCGAATGTTATTATCAAAATCTTCTGAGATTGTTAGAAACGAATTTGTGAGCAAACTTCATATCATCTGGAGCTGAATGCTAATGAATGAAATATGAAACTTCTAATCACTAAGTAATGACAGATCCGATTTCAAAAAATGAAAAAGTCTTTGTTAAAAAAATGGAAAGATTTTTTCGAAACAAAAAAAGTTAGTATTGTCGTTTTGGCAACAAGTGATGCATTTCTTATCAAAAAGTACTGAAAAAGATGTCTTTTACGTAAATTTCAGACATTCAAAACAATCCTGTATGCAAGCTTCATTAATTTTAATATCACTATTCGTTTGAAATTTATGAATCATTGAATGAAGTATTGTTCAATGTAGATTAATTTGGAATAATATTCGTGAGAAATTATTAATGTGCATAGTATCTTCATACACGTTGTGATATCTTGTTGGATATACTATAAATAATTGATTTCGAAGTGTTCATGTCACCGTACAATAAACGATAGATGTATCAAAATTTTCACATATACGACTGTACTATTTAGCGGCAGTTTCCACCAAACAAGCCAGTTTGCGTTCTCAGCTCGCGTCCGCCGACATAAATTCCTGCAGCGACATATAAATTCCCTGCACCTCGATACTTTTAATCCACTAATACCAAAAAACCGATATCGTATTGTTTCTTTAACAGTTCTTGGTCTCTGTACAGGGAAGGCCCTCATCCAAACCTGCCTGAACTCCCCGGACCCCCCCGCCGGCTCTGCGGGCGGTGACCAGCGGATGTCGGCCACCGGATTCGAAGAGACCGAGCTGACCTACAACATCAGTGACGACGACTCCAAAGTAAGACAAATGGTGTACGGCTCGCCGCACACACACGCACACCCGCACTCTTTGGCCAGCCAGGGTCACTATTCGCACCTAGAACAGACCCATCTGGGTTTGGGGGGGTCGCCGCAACACGGGGGCTACTCGCAAGCGTGTCCCAGTCCGCTGCCCCCGTCGCACCAGGGTTACGGCCACCCCCAGCATCCCCACGCGCATATGCACTCGCACCCCCAACGGTAGGGAGCGGGAGTCTAGGTCGTTTAGGTTTTTTCTTGTTTTTCCGTCCTGAAACGGGTTGTGGCCGGTGAATATGAGCTAAACTGATTCTTTCTGGTAATCGACTTTGGGGACAAGTAGTTAAAAAAATGTTCAACGATTTAGAAAACAGGTTGTGTTTTGTAATGAAATAGATGGTATCATATCCATTTCCTTAGATAGAATCATATGACCCATTTTAGATTAGCAGAATCACCTTGGAGAATAGAATAGAAAAGACTAGGATATAAATTTATCTGACTATGATACATAAAAATGCCATATTTATACCAAGTCGGTCACATTGACAAAAGATGTCGAATAAAATAGAAGAATTAATCTTCAATGAAAAGCATATATTTAAATATTTATAATAAATCCCATAAGCTGAGTACATTCCAAAGTACGTTAAGAAACCTTGCAAATGGTCTGACACTAAGTGAAAACAATATTTGAAAACTAACTCTTTTGAATGATATTGCATTGAGAGACTCCATATTATTTGAAATGAAATGTAAAACTACAACCTCTGGCGTAGAATAAATCCATTAACCAGCACTTTTCTCAATCATCAGAAATGCAATACTCTTCTCGACGCGGGCTTGGGAAAAGTGCTCATTTGGTAAAATATCACAGAGATGGTGAGACAAGAAGTCTATGACAATTTGGCCGGTCTTGAACCATAACTGTGTATTTGAGAATGTGTAATCAAATCATTTTTTCGTTGATGGATTCCAATCACAGTATTTTGAGTATATATAGACGGTTTTGATAGAATTTTGAAACGAACAGTGGATGAAAATGATCTCTGAAGATACAATTCGCTAAAATTCTCATATGATGTATCCAGTTTAAAATTCCATTTATGGTTTTACCCAAGAACTTCACACTTCTATTTTCCATTATAGAGGGGGCAGTAGAGAATGTAATATTCTGAGTTTCATCATCATTGAGCCGTAGTGTTTTGGCTTTAAACCAAAATTTAGATTTTACTCGGATAACCGAAGATGTTGTTTTCAGTTGTTGATGGTCTTTATGAGAACAAATTAAAATCATGTCGTCGGCAAATAGGATACACTAGGTACCATATCGTAATGATGATCATTCACATAAGTTAAAAATAGTTAAGGCCCAATAACTGAACTCTGAGGTACAACTTGTTGGTTTTTTCATATCGGATCTAACTTTTACAGTTTGACACGATTTTTCAGATATTATTCTATGAGCTTCAAGATTCCATCAACAAGGTATCGAAAACAAACATTGCAAAGAGATATTTTTTTTGGAGAAACATATTTTATTTTTTGTCAGTTTTCTTTAAGAATGAATTCAATTCTGTTAAGATTGAATTAACTGGATTGAATGTTCTTATACAGTTTTATTGGATATACTATTTTTCAAATGATTCCTTTTATGCTATTTTCATTGTTCATATATAAGTTTCAGAAATATAGGATGAAGGTAAATTTAGCAATATATAACGAACTCATTTGTTATTTCAATGTACCGTTTTACTTGAAACGTTGAGAAGATGCAAAATAACTGACGTTTTGTACAAAATGAGAATAGACAATTTTCAGTACTCATGAGAAGAATGTTCAGGTCACCAAAATTCTACTAGCACAGGATGAACAAGTTCATGGTGAAGCTTTTATTACTGGTTTTATGTGACTTCTGCAAGCCTGTTGTACGCACTCAACATTTTCTTAAATTGTATGAATTCATCCTAAAATAGATTATTCTTGTGAAATTAAATTGGATATTGTATCCACCCATATTTTGCTTCAAGTGTTTTGAACATAGATACATTTTAATATATTTAAAAATGTTTTGAATATCATACCGACAAATGATCTGTCTTCAATATTCGTAGTTTCAAAACTGAGTATCTTTGATTTACAGACACAATTCCTTTTTTTTGAGTTAAATTAACGCGACTTTTCCTACACTTATAAAAAAAGTGACATATTCTGATAGTTTTGGAGAAATCCATATAACTATTCGGCGTTGTCACTCTGTTCAAAAGTGCACACAAGTATTCACACTCAGCTACTCATAGAGACTTTTGACGTCACTGGAAAAACAGAAGTTTATGACGGGTGCAATAATTTATTAGAACATCTATAGTTGCTGTGCCTTTCTAAATTTGTCATCGTCGGAAAATATTTCGAATAGTGATTATCAAATATGAATCGTTGTTTTCTGTTCATAAAAATATCTGCATATGACCTACGGATAGTAATTCTAGGTCTTGTTGATTTTAAAGAAACTTTATAAAATTATATTAACTTTTCACGAACACTAATGAAGAATTTTCATTGAAATATACAACGAAACATTTATAACAGATATCGGATCGTATTTCTATATTGATTATAATTACTGAAGACAACTGACATTCGTCATTCATTACCCGGTATAATTATACAGTCGAAATAAGAATACTAGGAATATATTCAGCAGTTCTGCTATGAAATTATTGATCATTATTTTCTATGTTGTTTAAATGAAGGAGGTATGTTTACCAGACAGAGACATACTGCTGTCTGCTTTCATTTATTGAGGAAATAAATCATAATAACTTGATCTGCTCGTCTGCGCCAGCTACAATCCTACCAATGCAGAGAAGAGAAAAAAGCTAATATTCCTGTAAATATTACACAAATAAATATTTCATTTAATGAGGTTCAATTAAGTTTTCAGTTTATACGAGTTGGAGAAATATGTAGCATAATATTATCATAATTATTATGAATCTATATGCATTTGTTTGGTGATTTTTATTGAATAGTTGTGCTATTCCGGTTTTATGGAGGGCTTCTGTGATAAGATTCCGTTCTGTAACGTTGCCAGACTGCCAACTGCAAGAATGAACGACTGAAATAACCAGCAGTACAAATGCAGTTTTCCGAAATACAGGTGTAGTCATAACTTTTATTCCTCTTCGAAATCGAACGTAGTCTCTGAAGAACAACATTGTTTACGTTCTCTTTCAAATTCAAACGTCATTTTGCTTCCATTGATGACACTCCTTTGACGATTGTGGACAAAACCCTTTTTAAGTGAAATATCCTAAATACATTTTTTACAGTTAATTGTGAGTTAATGATGAAACATAAAAACCTTGCAGGATTTTTTTTTATTTACAATGAGTCGCATTCACCTGATGGTTATTAGCGCCGGGGTATGACTACTACAAATCATTAGGTAGTAGTTTCAATTTCATAATGAAGTTCAAAGCAAATAAAAAGCAAATAATATTCTTCCATTGATGTCGTCCTAGAGTTTTTTCAGGTATTCATACTTCGTAACTCTTCTTCTCTTCGTAACAATTTCATCTTGACAAAAATGTATGCACTCGGTATACGTGGAAAATTGAGAGCTGGTTCCGTTCATTCCTAGAATGGAGTAAACTGATAGTTGGAGTGACTGATAAAACATCTGATGAATTCTTAGTGGACTCAGGAGTCCCTCAGGGTAGCGTCCTGGGTCCATTGATTTTTTTATTCATAAATGACCTTCCCGAATATGTGAAAGATGGAAAGGTTTACATATTCGCAGATGACTCCACAAATTTGATATCTGGCCCTAACAGAGGTGAACTAGTAGCTAAAACAAAATCTATTAAAGCAATTCGACCAGTGGTGTCAGAAGAACAGTTTAATAATAAACTATTCAAAGACTGTTGTTATTCAATTCCACATATCGACTACAGGAAGAGCCATCGGTGAAAACCTGTATATAAACAGTTCATCAATCACATTTCAAAGTAGTCCCAAGTATTCGGGTACAATCGTCGAAGAAAACCTCAAATGGGACAAATGCACTGGGTCACTATGTTCCACCTTGAATAAGCACTTCTTTGCGTTGAGAAACTTAAAGAGCTGTTTAAATGAAGAAGGTCTCATGAGCGTTCACTATGCATTGGTATATTCTTCTATTTGTCATAATATTATAGTTTATGGTCCCGCTACTGGCAGCAGCAGCCTTCACAGCACAGAAAAGAGTCATACGATTGATATTTCACTTGGGTTTCCGAGAATCTTGCAAATATGTCAATAAAATAAAACCAATTCATATTGGAAATTGTCAACTACTCGACTTATAAAAAAACCCCAAAATATGATGCGGTAAACTTTTCAACATGCTACATGATGACTTGAAGAATCAGTCAAACCTGTTCAGATCCAAAACAAAATTGAAATGTTATCTGTTATCTAGGATATTCAGTATTTCAGAATTCATTTCGGACTGTCAATGAACAGTGTACTGTGTACTACTTACTTTCAGTGTTGCTTGGTTTGAAAATGTTTTCAAATTGTTTTTATTGTTTTATTATTTTAATATTGTTCTGTTTTTGACTTATCAATCCAATGTAAATTGGTGTATAGTCAATAATTTCTATTTTTACCAAATCTCTCTATCATGGGTAAGCCTAGTATGTCCCATTCTGAGTCGAGTCACAATCACTTGTTTTCTTCTGTTCAGACTTCCACGATCCCACGAGCCTATCGCTGTTTTGATTTCTTCGAGTTTGGACTGTGCATTTTGCCATTTTTTGTTCTAGATATCCTTCAGCACATTTTTTATATGGTTTCAAATCCGTGTAGGGATTGAGCTGTGAGGCTATGGAGAAAATGCTCTTCAATTCTTCAAAGCAAACAAATAACTCATTTATATGAAACTTGAAATAATTGAAAGTACAAGTATCATATCATTAAAAATAAAAATTCATAACTCAACAATCAAGCGTTCTGCACTATTTTAATTACGAAGAGTTCCTCATTTGTCATAGAGTATAACAAAAACAGACATCCAAAATCCAACCAAAACGCACTGGATTTGAAAGTTGAAACGAGGAAAAAGTTTGGACTCGCGAGCTTATTCTGTTTATTTTTAATCGAGTTTGAAGTTGCCGTGAAATGTCGAATATTCTGGAATATCGTAAGTCTTTCTCGAAATAATATTAAAAAAAACGTCATCGTAATTCATATTTCTCTGTCCTTGAGTCTCTATCATGCAAAATATGAAAAAGGTGTAAATATATTTTCCACTATATTTTGTGAAGACTAGGAATTATTGCTAATATACTTGTATGATTTTCCATGGACGTTCCATTTGTTCAGAATCCACATTATTAATAACTGACAGTCTAAATCCAAAAGTTAAAAAAAATTGGTTTCCGTTGGCTTCGACTGACATTATTCAGTCGCATACATGCCCCCTTTTCTGAGGTATTCATCGTTTCAACTCTTTCCCAAACAGAAATACTAAGTTGGTTTTTCTTGAGCTATTCACAATATGATATTCTTCTGATAGGTCTTGAAAGAGGACACAAGGGGCCGAATTTAGGATATGCGTTGTGCTGTGAGTGCCATTCTGCAAGTCTTTGAGAAATACACAATAGTTTGAGCCATTTGGAGTCATGCTCCGTGATAAAAATCGATTCATGATAATATTTCGGCTGTTAAGTTTTCACAGATACC